ATGATTATCTTGCCCAGAATCACGTACTAAAACTTATAGTAAATAAGAAATTTATACCTTTCTCCGTAAGCGGTAAAAACGAAGAAGTCGTAGGAAGAGCGTTGAAAGTGCAAACGTAACCGTTCAAGCGTCCGGTCTCCAACTTTGACACACGAACAACGCCGGAGTCTACCACAATCTTTATGCTAGTAAAGATTATAGTAGTATAAAATATAAAGATTAAAATTTGGGATAATAATAATCTTGTATGTTTCTATAGAAAATATTTCTAATAATATTTAGAAAATATTATAGATATTTTCTATACACAAAATGATATTAATGGAACCAAACTAATATCTTCTCTCTCTTGAAAATGGTATGGCCGAATAAAAATACTAATACTTAGCTAATTGTGTGAATGGTTTTAAATAAAGCATGATAAGTAATTGATTTTTGTCATTAGCTAAATGACAAATCAATTAGCCCACTCAAAAATCAATCACAAGAAAATTTGATTCCTTTAAGATGTCATTTGGCCGAAAAATCATGTGAGAAGGATTTGTAAAATTCTTCTCCACTTAAATGTTCAAAGTGTATTTTATTTGACACCACAAATTAATATAAAATTAATTTTAAATCAAATAAAAATACCCATATCATTTTAAACAAGTATACAAATATACTTTATATAGTTTATGTCAAAATAATTATTTTCATAATTAAAATGACAAACCAAAATAAAATATTCAACACATAATATATATATATATATATTTCGGTATTTATATATATAAATATATCACCGAATGTTTTACATATATATAATATTATATTCCAAAATATTTTATTTTACTATTTTAAAAATATACAAATTACTTATTATCCCATTGTTTAATCCTACTCCTTAAATTGTTCAAAGTGTGTGACCCGTATAGGCACTTATAAAGCTGGCCACAGTATTGGCTCTGCACCAATACTATAAGCAATAAGCGGTATCTAGCAACACATTATTGCCCCCAGATTATAAGTTA